TATCTGTGTTTCTCTGTTTTTCTTAATCCGTTCATCCATATTATATTTTTGATTTTCTGAGATCTTCTACTATCCGAAATGGTGCTATTATTTGGCAAACATAGCTGTTGGTCGAGGCGAATTATTGGCACATATATTCTGGCCCGTTTAAGTTTCTGGGGGTTCCCGGGCCTGCTTGGGCCGGGATTTCTACAATAATTGAAAAAAATAGTACGTTTGTGGGGGATCGAACTAAACGATCAGAGCACCATCGTGCGAGGGACGCAGCAGCCGAGCTAGCTATTGCGCTGAATAGGGATGAAAATGGAGCGGAATCTTTCCGCTTTTCCAGAGGAAAAATAAAAATTGAAGAGGAAAATGGAAGTGGAAACGAAAATGAAAACAAAATGTTTTTTCTTGTGGAACAGGTGGAACTTTCCGTTTTGAATGTGAGCACATGGTATTTTGTAGCTCAAAAAACACACTATTAGGCCCTACACAGAATGAGCAGAATGGTCCAGATGGCCCAACTTCTACAATACTACTATGTAAGCATAAGCACTTGTCTCAAAAAAAAAAAACAGAGCATGAGCACACTAGCAGAATCCCTAATTGAGCACGCCCTGTCGCTGACATATCCTTTTATATAGCCATGATATATCTGGAAATTCCATTCGGCTCCCGGGAGCACGTGCTCCCGAGCCCAAAAATAACCTTTGAAATGTCAAAAAAATCAAGACAATTTTTCATGTTTTCTTAGTCACATCCAAATGCTACCTGTAAATTTTGCGGCAAAAAGATTAAGCATTTTGGCCCGTGCAAAAAGAAAAATAAATTGAGCACCAAATATTACCCCTAAATGTCACCCCAAATTTGGTTTTTATTTGACAAAACACTGCTGCTCTGTTTCACATGAAAATTGTCAAGCATGCTTGCGGCACTAACACGACCATCCACAAAAAAAATTCAGATTTTTCTGAAAACATTTACTATTTTTTTCGCGTTAGTGTTCACCCAAGAGAATGTGCTCGTGGGAACCAAAACGCCCCTCCTATACCATAATATTTACTAATCATCTTATCAATCAAAATACTTTGTTGGTTTCCTTATTTTTCTGCCTATGGTTCAAGTGGCCTTTTGTTCGATGAACACCCCGCTTCCGTCTTTGTGTTCGTTTTATATTCGCTCCACTTTTGTTTCTGATAGTATTTGATTTCGTATTTGTTTTTAAGGTTTCTGTATTCGTTTCTGTTTCTATAAAAAAATATAAAAACAAATGTGGCAGTATCCAGTTCCATCCGTTTTCACTCTGTTTTCATCCATAGCGCTGAAAACGTTTTTCCATTACGGTGGATGGTGCCGCACGGTCACGGACATGAAGCCAATGACATCCCCGTTGGACCAGCTAGTAGCGTGGCGCCGTGTATGAGTGTATCTCTCGGCTGCTTATTGTTCACTTGATTAATGTCACTCATAAACTAGCTAGGCAACAATGTACGTTGTAAGTATAAATATTACAACATGGCGTACTGAGTACATGATACGTGCGGTTACTTTATTACTCCCTCCGTTTGGAATTACTTGTCGCAGAAATGGATGTATCTAGACATATTTTAGTTCTAGATACATTTATTTCCGAGACAAGTAATTCCGAACGGAGGGAGTAGGTTTTTTGCATTTCATGGTTTTGGTCGCTCGATCGGCGCCCCCTTAAACGTATATAAATGAGCTCAAATGTGATCGTCTGAGTGAATCGAAGTATAAAAATCGTATGTATGAGCAAATAGCAGGTCTGAAGAGAGTAGGCCGGCACTCCATGCTTGCCCCTTCCGCACGTTCTGTTCGATGTCCTTGATGTTTTTGTCCCTGTCATACATCCAATGTGAGGTACTAGCTCATGTTTGCATGGCTCATGTTGCAAAACAGGCTGTGGTGTAATGACAGACTTCAACGCCGCGGCTGAAAAAATGAGTACTTCTGCCAATTATGCACTCGAAACCTTGAATCCTCGAAGCATCTATTTTGAAAGTGCCCAATGGCAAAGAGAGTCTGGGAATCAATCAGCTCTTGGACGGGCTGCGCCTCTCTGGCCCCAGATGCGAGATGGCAAGATATTCGACACTCCTCCATTGCGCTGGCCGCCCTGGACAGGTCCGCACCAACATGTCGAAAGGGCACCAACACGCTTCTGCTGCTTGTATGCTGGGAAATATGGCAGGAACGGAACAACGCCACCTTCAGGAAAAGCATCCCAAGTGTCTCCAACATCATCAGGAGGGTTACGGACTGCATCGAGCTATGGCGAGCCGCGGGCGCAACCTGTATTGAGAGCCCTGTAGAGGTTTAGAGAATTGATGCAATTCACGATATATTGATCGGGTGCATATGCACGTATATATATAGGTACAAGGGTAGCCACGTCCTCAACTATACAAGGGAGGAGGACGGCTTGTGGTACAAGAAATATACATGCAATATACATATCTCAACACCCCCCCCCCAGTCGAAGCATCGGGAAGACCGACGCAGAGACTGGAGCGAAAATCCTCGAAAGACGCCGTAGGCAACCCTTTGGTCATGATGTCCGCAAACTGTTGGGAAGTAGGGACATGGTGAATCCGGATGTGTCCAAGAGCCACCTGTCCCCCCACAAAATGGATATCAAGCTCAATATGTTTGGTGCGGCGGTGATGAACTGGGTTGGCGGAGAGGTAAACAGCGGAGACGTTGTCGCAGTAAACAATGGTGGCCTTGGCGACAGGAAAAGAGAGCTCAAGAAGAAGCTGACAAAGCCAGGAGCACTCTGCAACAACAT